AAAAAAAAAAAAAAAAAAAAAACTGGTACCAATTACCTCTAAAGTGAAACTCAGTTAAACCTGAGTGGTACTGTGCAAACTACTACATAAGACACTCATCTATTATAGAGGATATATTTCAAAGACAGAGTGATGTAGCGGAGAAGCATTTCCTGAGGAAAACCAAGAGCCCTTTTCTATCTCAGGTTTCTTTTTATTGAATCTTGAAGCTCAAGTTCATGGCTTCATCAAAAGATGCTTCAAATCCTGAAGTTAGCTCTCACCTGGAGCCGGTGTGTTGTTCTACCCTTTGGCTGGGAACACAGTCACCTGGGAATCATTCCAGCAGGTGGCTTCTGAAGTCCAACCTGTTAGGTTGAAATCTGACACTGACACACACTCCGGGAGCTGCTGGCGGAAAGCTCAACCAGGAACCAGGAAATGCCCAAGCCTCTTGATGCATAAAAACAGCTGGGCTCCCTTGGAGACGGAGTGCCATGGGAAACCGGGTCTGCTGCGGGGGAAGCTGGTGAGTAGGGTGGAAGGGCAGAGGGAAACATCTATCTCTGTTGGTGGATGTGGAGGTCCTGAAAATCAGAGCACCTGGAGATAGTTGTCTGCCAGCCTCCCACTGCTACCTTCCTCTGTCTGGAAACTCCTGGTTCCAACACCAGAGCAGCACCTCCTTTCAGGAGATCTTAGAAAACAGAGCCAAGAGGCCGGGCACGGTGGCTCACACCTGTAATCCCAGCACTTTGGGAGGCCGAGGCGGGTGGATCACGAGGTCAGGAGATCGAGATCATTCTGGCTAATGTGGCGAAACCCCGTCTCTACTAAAAATACAAACATTAGCTGGGTGTGGTGGCTCGTGCCTGTAGTCCCAGCTACTCAGGAGGCTGAGGCAGGAGAATCACTTGAACCCGGGAGGCGGAGATCGCAGTGAGCCAAGATCATGCCACTGCACTCCAGCCTGGTGACGGAGCGAGACTCGATCTCAAATTAAAAAAAAAAGAAAAAGAAAACAGAGCCAAGCTAGCTGTCTGAGGAATGGCCAGGGCAGGGCAGGAATATTGAACTGGCATTGTTTTTCTGTGTTCTCTTCTTTTCTTTCCCCTTCTCTCCTTTCCCTTCTTCCCCAGATGAGAGTAATAATTGTAGCATTTGAGAGCTTTCTATGTGCCAGGGATTTTACAGTCTCATTTAATTTTTCCAACACTTTATGAGGTAAATGGTTTTCCCCTCCTCTTTTTACAGTCAGCTGAGAAACTGAGGCTCACAGAAGTTAACTAACTTGCCTAAGGTCACATGACTATAAGCAAGAAAACCAAGATTCCAACTGACTTCAGAGCCCACCTTTTGAACCATTGCATAATATTGCCTCCCAGATCAAGCAAGTCAACTTTGAAGCAATGTTTATTTAAAAGGGCAGAAGTGGCCAGGCGTGGTAGCTCGTGCCAGTAATCCCAGCACTTTGGGAGGCCGAGGTGAGAAGATCACAAGGTCAGGAGTTCGAGATCAGCCTGGCCAATATAGTGAAACCCCATCTCTACAAAAAAATACAAAAAAAAAAAAAAAAAAAAAAAAGATTAGCCAGGTGCGGTGGCAGGAGCCTGTAGTCCCAGCTACTTGAGAGGTTGAGGCAGGAGAATTGCTTGAACCCGGGAGGTAGAGGTTGCAGTGGGCCAAGATTGCACCACTGCACTTCAGCATGGGGGACAGAGCAAGACTCTGTCTCAAAAGAAAAAAAAAACGGCAGAAGTAAGTGGTCAGATGCAGTGACTCACACCTGTAATCCCAGCACTTTGGAAGGCTGAGACAGGCAGATGACTTGAGGCCAGGAGTTTAAGACCAGCCTGGCCAACACGGCGAAACACCATCTCTCCTAAAAATACAAAAAAAAATTAGCCAGGCATGGTGGCGCATGCTTGTAATCCCAGTTACTTGAGAAGCTGAGGCATGATAATCCCTTAAGCTTAGGAGACAGAGGTTGCAGTGAGCCAAGATTGCGCAAGTGGAGGCCAGCCTGGGTGACAGAGCAAGACTCTGTCTCAAAAAAAAAAGGAGTTTGAGACAAGCCTGGGCAACATAGGGTGGCCCCATCTCTACAAAAAAAATTAAAAATTAGATAGGCATGGTGGTGTGTGCTTGTAATCCCAATTACTTGGGAGGCTGAGGCAGGAGGTTGGCTTAAGCCCTTGAGTCAAGGTTGTAGTGAACCAAGATCACACCACTGCATTCTAGTCTGGGTGACAGAATGAGACCATCTCAAAAATAAAAATAAAAGGGAAGAAGTAGGAAAAAGAAGAACATCCATGGAATATCTGAATATGACTTTCACATTTATTTGCTATGTGACTATAGGTAGTAAGTCCCTTAATTTCTCTGTATCCTCACATGTAAAATATAGATAATACATCCTACATTGTGTAGATCACAGGCTTATTTTGAAGAGCAAAGGATATAGTGTATGTGAAAATCTCATAATAAATTATCTATGGCACTGTTACTGTTCTTTCCCAAAATTTTCATCACTGCCATAAATTCCTGGTTTTGGTTTTATCTTGTCTACTGCCTTCCATGCCTGGGGCAGGTCTTGAGGATGTCATGTTTTAGATAAAGCATCATTATATTTAGATAGACAAATGACATGCTTTGGAAAACAGATTTTGGAGTAGTACATTGGATTCAGGTCCTACTCTACTTACTCATTCATTTATGCATTCATTTATTAAGCAATATTTATTGAATATGTACTATAGGCACAGTGATAGACACAGAAGACATAGTAATAAAAGGACATTTGGTCCTTGGACTCGTTGAGTAAGAAATACCCTGAAGTTCCAACATCTGTTAACTGACTAAATAAATGACATATCCAATTAATGGAAAATATGTAGCCACTTCAAAAAGAATGTTGGAAGAAAACCTAACATCGTGGAAAATTTACTCTTTTTTTTTTTTTGAGATGGAGTTTCGCCCTTGTTGCCCAGGCTGGTGTGCAATGGTGCGATCTCAGCTCACTGCAACCTCTGCCTCTTGGGTTCAAGCGATTCTCCTGCCTCAGCTTCCCAGCCTCCCGAGTAGCTGGGATTACATGCATGTGCCACCACACCCAGCTAATTTTGTATTTTTTGTAGAGATGGGGTTTATCCATGTTGGCCAGGCTTATCTTGAACTCCTGACCTCAGGTGATCCGCCTGCCTCAGCCCCAGCCTCCCAAAGTGCTGGGATAACAGGCTTGAGCCATTGCGCCCAACTTTTAAAATTTTACTCTTTATTAAGTTAGTAAAAAGGGCCTTAGTTGACCCATCTGTAAAATGGGAATAGAAATATGTTTCCTGGAATGTCAGGACTGAAAAAATAAAGCACCTTTAAACTCTGAGGTGCCCTATAGACACAGGACATCCAGAAGCATAGAAAAGCTTCTAGAGAAGGAGATGTAACAGATTATTTTATTCTCTTTCTTTCCAAGTGTTGGTATTCTGTTTTCATTACTGGTTAGTTCTCTGGTGGTGACAGTCATTAGTAGTCAACTTTTACTGATGCTTATTATATGTTAGGAGCCATGCTAAGTATTTCACATTTTCTGTTTTATTTAATCCTCACAATAATCCCATGAGGTCTGAATTCCATTATCATACTCATTTTTGTTTTCTTGAGATGGAGTCTCACTCTATTGCCCAGTCTAGAGTGCAGTGGTGCAATCTTGGCTCACTGCAATCTCCACCTCCTGGGTTCAAGTGATTCTTGTGCCTCAGCCTCCCGAGTAGCTGGGATTACAGGTGGGCACCACCATGCCCAGCTAATTTTTGTATTTTTAGTAGAGATGGGGTTTCACCATGTTGGCCAGGCTGGTCTCGAATTCCTGACTTCAAATGATCCGCCTGCCTCAGCCTCCTAAAGTGTTGGGATTACAGGATTGAGCCACTGCACCTGGCCTATCATACTCATCTTATTAATAAGAAAACAGAAGCCTAGAGAGGTTAAAAATTTGCTGAAGGTCTCACAGCTAGTCTGACCTCATGAGTCTGACTCCACAGCCCATTCTAGAGACACTATACCAAACAGTCTAACCAAAATCTTTTTCTTTTCCTCTTCAAATACTAATAGGATTGGATAAAAATTTGTTCTCTATTTTTTGTTATCTCAATAAACCTCCTGAGACTTAAAGATATTACGAATATTGAAGATATTTTTATTTTAAAATATTCTTTGTTGTTATTGTTTCTGATTACAAGCCTAATAATCATTCATTGCAGAAAATTTAACTTCTTCAAAGAGCAGAAAATAAAAAGCAATCATAAATATAAGCACCCAGAGATGATGGGAACATTTTAGTGTATTTCCATATGTTTTTTAAATGTGCACAGCTTTTATTCCAAAGCATATCTGTTTACTAACCTAATAAAGAGTAAAATTTCCCATGATGTTAAGTGTTCTTCCAACATTCTTTATGAAGTGGCTACATATTTTCCATTAATTGGATATGCCATTTATTTAGTCAGATACCAAATGTTGGACCTTCAGAATATTTCCTATTTATTGCAATTTAAATAATGTTATAATGAATATCCATATTTGTACATGTATAATTATTTCTTAGGATATGGAATTGCTACATCAGTGGGTATACACATTTATGTTTAAGGCTTTTTACACTTATTGCCAATTGCATTCTAGAAGGATTGCACAACTTTTTATTCCTATTACCACTGTAAGAGAATGCCCACTTAGTTTCCTTAAATCTAAAAATAAAATCCCATCGCCTGTGAATCTAAATGAATATTTACTTCACTCCATTTGGGTTGTGTCCAGGCATTGCACAATATCTAACCTGAGAACAGGTTCTGTTCACTAACACTGGATAGGCCTAGTCTATGTATTTTAGGATAAGTATTTTCTCTATCCATTTAAATAAAAATAAGTAGGTAAAGAGTAGTAACAAGTGGCAAAGAATTAGAAGATTCTCTTGTTCTTAGGATAAGGCTAACTGAGCAGCAGTAACATAAAGCAAGAGCTGAAGTGGCAGAAGAGGAAGTAGAAAAACACAGAAGTAGTTTTTCTTCTGAACCACCTGTAGACTTTGGCTGGAGACTCAACTGCTGTCACCTAACTGAGCAAGCTGTAGCAAAACCAAAAATCACATCAAAACAGAAACCTCTGTCAAATGTGTGTGGAAAAATCCTGACTTTTTTTTTCCACAATAGTCCTCATGATTTAGAAATCAGTCTTATCTCTCTCTCCAATTAGCAAAGGAGGAAACTTCCCAGGAGATGAAAGATCAGACAAACAGGATTGGCTCTGGCAAGTTGGAAATGTACTAGCCAGAAAGCAAGAAAAAGAATCCAGAGTAAGCCCCAAACTATTTAGCCTATTTCCTCAGACAGTGTTGTCTTTCTGGACATCAAACAGTTACCAATCATGTAGACACATGGGCACCACTGGGGACCCCAGGGGCTCAGAAATAAATATAAGACGTCTGCCCTATGGTGAGGCAGGATAGCTGAGTCACTCACCAAATTCAGTGCTCCCTGTTCTGTAGACAAAGTTCTCTGAAACATGTTAAAGGTTAAACATCTCTCACTTTCTCTGTTAATTAAAAACAATGACAGGGAACTAGGGAGGGAGGTCACTTGTTAAGAAAGGGCTTTGAGGAGCTGGAACTAGTTAGCCCTGGTTGTGGCAGCTTCCATGAGTCCCAGAATGAAAGTCCCAGATTGGCAAAACCAGTTTAAAAAAAAAAGCACTGAAGAAGAGGCAAGAGGGTCTCTGGATTCAAGAATATTCTATCATTTGGCAGTCTTCCCTCACCCACTGCTGGGATTAGCCTGGTAGACAATCCCAGAATAGTCCTCAAGCCAGATACATCCTGGCATGTTGTGCCTGGTTGCCTGAGGCTGTATTTTGGGTCTGGTTATGTTAGTTGTACTACACCACCTTCCAGAACCATCTATCTGGGAGAAGTGTGGTACCCTTGACTAATGCTTTGGGACTGAACCTGGCTCAGCGTGAATCTTTGTTGGAGGGAGGTAGGGGAAGTTCATCAGAATGTTAGAGAGATCACAGAGCAAATGATGATGGAGGGAAGGCAGAGGCCAGGGCTCTTGCACATGGGTGATCTGTTTTTCCTGTCACAGGAGCTGCCCATCAACTTTCCAGAAGAAAAAGAAAAGAGGTAATTTTGGGGCTGGGGAGAGAGTCTGGGGGAGGCATATTAGAGAGACAATAGAATTGCCATCTTTGGAAACGGTATAAGGGTAGAAAAGGAGTGAAAGAATAAAGGGAGACAGAATATCAAAGAGAATCCTGGTTACTGTGTTCAAGACCAGTTCTCTGGATCTTATCCTTTCCATTATTTCAGAGTGGCAGGGTTGGTTTCAGCAAATATTTACTCAGCACTTATATTGTATGTGAGGATCTGTGTGGAGTCCCAAGGAAGCAGAGAGGCACAAGAAGAAAGACACATGATCTCAGCCCTGGAAGAGCTGAAAATCAAATTTAAGAGATAGATTCATATAAACAAACAATTGTAATATCATCTGCTGGTGCAATAATAGATGAGCTACACTCATGCTGTGTGAGAATGGGTGAAGACATTGATGTCAAAATGTCAAAGAAATAATAGCAAAGTGTCAGGCATCGTGGCTCATGTCTGTAATCCCAGCACTTTGGGAGGCCAAGGTGAACGGATCACTTGAGGTCAGGAGTTTGGGACCAGCCTGGCCAACATGGTGAAACTCTACTAAAAATACAAGAATTAGCCAGGCATGGTTGTATGGGTCTGTAGTACCAGCTACTTGGGAGGCCCAGGCACAAGAATCACTTGAACCTGGGAGGTGGAGGTTGCAGTGAGCCGAGATCGCCCCACTGCACTCCAGCACTTACCACCTTGCATTGTAAGTCAGTTTACTTATTTTTACTTCTTTGTTTCCCCTAGTAGGCTGTAAGCCCCCTGAAGCAGAGGAAACAGCCTACTCATCCTTCCAACCTGAGAGCATGACACAGAGCCTGGCACATAATGGGTTCTCATGTTGAACTGTTTTAGGAGCTGTTAAAATTGAGGATGGGAGATGTTATGGCCAGACTGTGAAAGGGCCAGATTGTAAACCCTGCTTTGGATTTAGGACTAGTAGACATAAAAGAAGTAAGAATGGGCCGGGCACAGTGGCTCAAGCCTGTAATCCCAGCACTTTGGGAGGCTGAGGTGGGTGGATCATGAGGTCAAGAGATTGAGGCCATCCTGGCCAACATAGTGAAACCCCGTCTCTACGAAAATACAAAAATTAGCTGGATGTGGCAGTGCATGCCTGTAGTCCCAGCTACTCGGGAGGCTGAGGCAGGAGAATTGCTTGAAGCCGGGAGAGGCGGAAGTTGTAGTGAGCTGAGATCGGCCACTGAACTCCAGCCTGGCACCTGGTGAAAGAGCGAGACTCTGTCTCAAAAGTAAAAAAAAAGGAAGTGAGAATGGAGGCAGAGAGATTAGACAGAAGCCTGCCGTAATTGTTTAATAGTGATTTGAAGAAGCAATCTCAATAGAGACAGGGAAGAGAGAATGGATTTAAGCTGAATTTCTTTCTCTCAGGAAGCCAAGCAAGATGGACACTGAAGCCGAAGCCACAACAGCTGCCGCAGAATGGCCCAAAGGTAATGACAGGCCTCTGTCCCCTCTCCAGGGCTGCTCGAACATGGGATCTCAGTACTCAAATCTTTTGCCCTGCAACAGACACATTTCAGTCACCTATAGAATCTGCTGGCTCTGTCTGTCCTCCTCTGCCCCTCAAAGGAGCAAAGCGGAGAGGCATCAGTTGACCTGCCCCTGCCTTGGAGGTGAGGGGCAAAACCAAGCTATGAATCTCCCTTAATGATATCCTTTCCTCGCAGGACCATGAAACAACAGGACATACGTATGAGCGGGTGTTACAGCAGCAAGGGTCTCAACAGAGGAGTCCAGGCCTCATGTCAGAAGACAGCAACTTACATTATGCTGACATTCAAGTGTGCAGCCGTCCCCAGCCACGCTCTGGCCAGGAAGTGAAACATATGCATTTAGAACACGCTACAGAGTATGCGATCCTTCGCTTCCCCCAGGCCACACCTCACTATGACAGCAAGAACGGGACCCTGGTGTGAGCCTTGGGGAGGCAGACCCAGCCATGTTAACCACTACTCCTCTGGGGGGGAATCTACTGCTTTGGAGAATTGGGTGGCAACCCAGGGATGTTGGCCATGTTTTAAGCTTAAAGAACTCCAGGCCGGGCGCGGTGGTGCACGCCTGTAATCCCAGCACTTTGGGAGGCCAAGGCGGGCGGATCACGAGGTCGAGAGATCGAAACCATCCTGGCCAACATGGTGAAACCCCGTCTCAAAAAAAAAAGAACTCCAAAGCCCCTGAATTGTGGGAGTCCCCAGTTTCTCCTCTGGCTTCTCACTTGCCATTGTTCGGTTGGAGTTATAGTTGATTTAGCTGTGGGTGGACAGAATTCCACATTGAGGTTAGGTGGCGTGTGCAGGGAGGTAGGTCTTCGACTCCACCTTTGTTGCTCCTGCTCTTGAAAAGCGCAGAAAGAGCAGATTACCCTATAAGCACGTGGGCTTATCTTGTCGGACTTGAATTAAATAGTATCATTTTTTTCACACACCTTAAACTCCAAAGCTGAAGGGGAGGTGCTCTGGAAAAGCATTCTGAGCTTTTGCACTCAGACACCAGGGCTGGTTTGGGCCATTTCTTCAGCGGCTGGATCCGGTTCCAGACCTTAACAGACAAATGGGGGAAAGGGGCTGAGGCGTGGACGAAGAGTTCTCCAACCACGGCCTACAGGACTTCAAGTCACTGAGACCGACAGCACAGCGAGGGCCGGAAACTTCCCTCGGCGGGACTGTGGGATCTCGCGGGTGCGGGGCCGCTTGGATCAATAAATGGTCTGAGGAACAAGCCTGACGCGTTTTCTGGGGCGGAGCTCCGAGTCTCCTTGCTAGGACAGCCGATCCCGTCCAGTTTGACGAGCGGTTCGAAGGTCCAGCCGGTAGAGAGCCCTTCCGGCCCCACCTCCAGGCCGCGGCCGGAGGCGGAGCTGGAAGGGGAGGGGTTTAGGAGAACAGGGGCCGGGCTCCCATTGGCAGAGGGCGCAGTTCCCTGGGCGGGGTCCATGCCGGCATTGGTTGTTGTCTGGCTCCTGGGAGGCGGGTCCGAAACGGCAGGGGCGGGATCTGGGCCGCAAGGGGTGCAGTCAGGACATGCAGGAGGAGGGATCCGGACGGCCGGAGGCGGGGCCAAGGACGGCAGGTGTTGGCTACAGCAGGCTGGAGGCGGGAGGGGCCTGGGTCCGGCCTTCGCATCACCATGGCAGCGGGAATGCGGCGGCAAAGCCAGAGCAGCGGCAGGCTGAGCCCCGGAGGGCTGCGGACAGAGATGCTGAACCAGATGGATCCATCTTTTAAGAGGTAGGTGCTGAAAGGTGACGGGTAACTGAAAAATATTAACCCAGTTGAGCAACCAGATTGAAACTGGGGACACGTAGAGGTGGCAAGGATGAAGTGGGTAGTAGGAGGCTAAAATTTCAAAGACCAAACCCGCTCTCAGCCTTGTGCATTCTTAGCCTGCAGTTCCTGCTTCAGACTTTCAGAGCTTGGAGAGGAGGGGTAACGCACTCCCCTTTCTCAGTCTATTCTCCGTTCTCCCCAAATACCGCTTCCTCTCGGCTGGTCACTAAGAGAGATGATTAAAGACGGGTAGCTTATTGAAAATGAAATTGTAGCACACACAAAAGTTGGCAATAATAGTATCAACCCCAAAAAGTGTAATAATTTAAAGCACTCGCAGCAAGTACGTAGTTTGTAGTCAAATGTTGGCTGCCATTATCATCATTACCATTATCACTTTTTCCCCGATCGTTGTCTGGCAAAGACTCCACGCAGGCGATTCAGAAAAGGTGGGTTGGAGGACTGCCCCCACCACTAATAGGTAGAGCAGCTCTCTAGCCTATTTGCTATATATTTAAATGAAGGTGGCCGGGCGCAATGGCTCAAGCCTGTAATCCCAACGCTTTGGGAGACCGAGGTGGTTCGAAACCAGCTTGGCCAACATGATGAAACCCCATCTCTACTAAAAAATGCCAAAAATTAGCCTGGCTTGATGGTGGGCGCTACTCGGGAGGCTGAGGCAGGAGAATCGCTTGAACCTGGGAGGCAGAGGTTGCAGTGAGCGGAGATCGTGCCACCGCACTCCAGCCTGGGCGACAGAGCAAGACTCGTCTCAAAAAAAA